TTTCTTTTTTGTCATTTAAAAAAAAAAAAAAAAAAAAAAAAATTGCCAGCCAGGCGTGTTGGCGCGCGACATTAGTCCCAGCACTCAGGAGGCAGAAGCAGGCAGATCTATATGAGTTTGAGGCCAGCTGGGGCTCCAGGACAGCTGGGGCTACAGGGAGACCCTGTCTCAAAAAAAACAAACAAAAAAATTGCCCAGTGTGATTTTCTTTGTTTGTCAGGAAAGGCCCTTTCAGGCTCCAGAGAGGAAAGTGATATCTGATTGTTTGATTTCTTAAAATGTTGTGTTTAGTTATGAGTCTTCATGGTGTCTTCCTCCCTCTCTCCACCCTGCTACCCACTTCTCTGCCTTGATGTCCCCCTTCTTGTATTCTGTCACTGGTCTCCAGGAATCCGCCCAAGACCTTGCAGACTGTGCAGGATCAAGTCATCGTCTTGGATAGTGCCTGGGGCGCTCCCACAGGTGTAGTGCTCCGCTCCACCCAGCTGAGATCCATGCCCAGCTGTAGAGATACCAGAAGCCTTGTCTGCCCCCTGCCAACCTTCACCATGGCAGTGAACTGTGATATTGAAGAACTTCACTTCAGACAGCCTGGGAGCCTGGGGGGCATTCCAGAACTCCAAATCCTGGATCCAACTGTGTGTCCAACCTTCAGAGATACCATGATTCAGGCTCAACTCACCTAGTCTTCGTGGCCTCTCCAGACCAGAAGTTGAGAATTCTATCACAACCTGTGGCAGCTACAACTCCAGACACTTCCAAGCCTGCTAGAGTGCAGGGTGACAAGATCTGGGTCATCAATAAGGACTGCAGCATCTTGGGCACCCTCAGTTGGGCCCAAGCTCGTGGCATTTAATCACTAATGGTTCCTGAAGCAACCCCTTCTAATTTCCAGTGAGTCAACTGGAAATAATATCCAAACTAATAAACAATAAATTGATGCACCCATGCGTGGAGCATCCTTGTCTGAGGTTAGTGATGGGGCCTAAAGCATAATGTTCTCTGGTCAGGAAAGTGCTCTGAATAGCTTGGAGGGCCCTTCTTCATCACAGCTCAGTCTGACTATGTAAGGAAAAGGGACAGTAGCCAGGCATCTGGGTCTAAAACACGAGGTCACAGAGCCTATCCCTGCCCAGGACTTTCTATGAGACTTAGGTATGACAGTTTATAAAATGGGGATGACAGGGAGGCCCTACTCAGAGAGCAGGCGGACAGGTGTAGGGTGCCTGCAAAGTGTTAGAAAGTCCCCGAGGTCCCTTCCCCACTCTGGGAGCAGTGTTTATGTTCACAGTGTAAACAAATCTCAGAGGGGACAGATGGCTCAGGTCTAAGAGGATTGTCTCAGTAAAGCTCCCTCTAATTGGATCCTTCCAGCAAGATGAGAAGCCACCCCTCATTCCTGCATCACTGGCAGGCCTGAGAACACCAGGCCTCACCAGGTCCGAAGCTGATGAACAGGGGTACCCTGGGGGCAGAGCCCGGGGACGACCATGTGCAGGCAAGTCAGAGTCTGTACTTGTCATGGACCAGATTTCCACCTCCCCTTCATAACCATTCACTCCTCCAATCACCCATTCCCAGGGTAGGCAATGGTCACACTCTACACTGGGTTTTGAGGCTCAAAGAATATGAGCCTTTGACACCTGGGAGGTCATCACTGCTCCACAAGATTGTAATCACAAGGTGAAAAACTGAGGGTGAAGTGCAGAGAGGTATGAAAAAAAATGAGAAACTTAGGCACAAAGTCAGTTAATGAGACGGAGAACCCTAGCTAGAGAGAGCTGGGTGCATGAGGTATGTGTGTACGGGAAAGGTGGTGTGTGTACTATGGTGTATGTGGTACATTACACGTGTGCTGTTGGTGTGGTATGTATGTTATGGTATGTGTGTGTGTGTGTGTATGTGTGTGTGTGTGTGTATGTGTGTGTGTGTGGTATGTGTGTGTGTGTGGTATGTGTGTGTGTGTGTGTATGTGTGTGTGTGTGTGTATCAGAATGAGGTAGAGAGGGAAACTTGAGAACTGGAGCCAAATTCAGCAACTGGATAATACTGGGGGCCAGAGATGAAGCAGATTAGAAGGGCCAAGAGCATCACCAGGAGCTTGGAGTTGTCTTGAGAACAAAGAAGAATGAGTGTAGGAGAGAACGCAGGCAGCAGGAGCTACAGTGCTACAGTGAGCTGCCACTGCAGAGGTACCAAAAGGAAGAACAGGCTTTGGAACAGCAGTGGAGTGACCTCATGCCTCCAGGTTTCACGGTCAGTGGAGAACACATCCACAGTCGCTACATGGTCCTTTCAGACCCTCACTACCTCCTGCAGAGGCGCCTCCTCTCTAACCAGCAAAGGGAAAGCTGGTGGCTCCTGTGTCTTGTCCATCATCCTTATCTCCCCTCCATGCCTTCCTTTCAAAAAGGTAAAGAAACATGTAAGACTTCACACATGTGGTTAAGTCGGCCAAGTGGAACAACTCAAAGGCACAGATGCAGTGGTAGAGCCTCTTCTGGAAATGGGCACAGCAAGGGAAAGCACACAGTGGAAGCCCCAGTATCTCTTAGGGGGTGGGGGACAATACAGTTAACACATACCAGTAATAAGAGGACACAGCCTGCCCTTGGAGAAGAGGAGTGGCTCCTGGAGTGGGGACTGTGGTGTCCCAGCTAGGAACCACTTGCTGCACAAGGGTTCAGTGGAGGTCAACCTGACAGGATGCCAGCCCCAGAGCAGCTCAGGCCATAAGCAGAACTCAAAAGTGAACTGAGGATGAAGGACCTGCTCCCCCTGCCCCCTCCTGTACACCTGTCTTTTCCCTGAGGATTAAGGGAAATCCTGAGACTGATTTCTAAGATAGGACTTAGCTCACTGTCAGGCCTCACCAGAGGCCATCACTCCAGGAGGCCAGTGCTACTTCCCACAAAGACCAAGTGTCTCCTTTCTTCCTCAGGGGCTTCCAGCACCTGCACTGTGGGCTTTTAAAGAGTCTCAGCAGTGAAGAACTTTGCTCACAAAGAACAGACAAAGTCATGAATGTGGCTACTCATGCTTGGGGAGAAACTCTAAACATGTATGAGTGACTTAAAATAGTATTGGAAGTTGCTCATTGCCTTAGTTGGCTCCTTGAGGAATCTAGGCATGCTTAGAGGATAGGAAAGGGTCATTAGAGAAAGTGTACTATTTCCATGGCAACTAAAGGAATTCACAGTCCCTGAAGGGGTGGGACTGTTGCTGTAGTTAATAGATCATGAGTTTCTGAGGCAGGTTTGGGGATCAAACAACTCTGTCACACACCTACTGTGACATTGGAGGAGGGCAGGTGACTTCTCAGACCTTTGGGTTTCTCATCTGTAAAATGAGGCTGAGACTACCCATCATATCTCCCTACTCATGGTCCGGGGTAAGCCAACTTCCAGGGCTCTGTGGAAGTTTATCTTCATCACTCTCTCCCCATGATGTTCCACCACAGGCCCAATGCAGCAGGATCATGGACTGAAACTTCATACTGTGAGCCAAAATAAACCTTTTCCCTCTGTAAGTCAGTCATATCAGGTATCTGTTAGAGTGACAGAAAGCTGGCCAACACAAGGGCTTACTATGCTAACACCAAACGGCCTGTGAATGAAACCGAGTCCCTTCACTGGATGGTTCACAGAACCCAGGGAAGACACACAAGCAGAAAGATTATAGCTCTGGTCTTTTATTCTTAGTGTATTTTTCATTCTTATTTGTTCTTCATTATCGTGTGATTTTTTCTTTTGTTAATATATACTAATGATACATAATAGGTTTCATTGTGATATTTTCTTTGTACTATTATTTTTATTTTATGCATATGAGTGTATTGCCTACACATGTGTAAGTGTACCTGTTGTCATGCAGTGCCCACAGGGGTCAGAAGAGGGTGTCAGATCCCCTGGAACTGGAGTTACAGATGGTTGTTAGGTGCTATGTGGGTGCTGGGAATCAAACCCTGGTCCTCTGCAAGAGCAGCCAGTGCTTTTAACTGCTGAACCATCTCTCCAGCCCCTCACTGTGACATTTTCATGTATGTATGTAATATATTTGAATCACATTCTTACTTTCTCTGTTTCTGTCTCTCTCTTTCTTCTCTCTCTCTCTCTCAGACACAGACACAGACACACACACAGACACATACACACACACACACACACACACACACACCATTACACTCTCTTGTCTTTTAAAGGTTCTAGCATTGTTCCAAGCAGCAGCCAGTTCAGGTAAGGATAAAGGTGTGCCAAGGATGAAAGCCCTCGGGAGAACAGATCTTCTTTGATGTGTTCCCTTCCAAGATACAGCCATGTAGCAGACTGAGACAGTAAAGAGGATAACTAGAGGATGGGACAGACCAGCCAATGCTAGAGATCTGCCCACCTGCATGACTGTCATATTGAAAGGTCCACTCAACAGTCCAGGACTCAGTTGGCTTGCTAGATGGTATTTGGGCCACTAGGCAGATGAGGGAAACAGTACCAGCTGCAGAGACCTTTAGTTGAAAGGATAGACAGGGCCTCAGACAGGTAGGGAGCGTAACGGACCAGAATTGAAGGAAACGGAAGGGAAGGGAGGCTCCCACCCTCCTACCCTCATGACAGAGGAAATTGTGGCAACCACTTTAGCCTGGCCTATACCTAAATACACAGTGGATACAGGAGACCATGTTGCAGAGAAGACATCATCCAGGAATCCCCAGGAACACTGAACAGCTGAGCTACTAACTCCAGAGCCCTCTACTGGGAAGGAAACTCAAGACTTCTAGCCTGATGGGTACACTTAGGTGAACTTGGCAAAGGATAATCCTCAGGACCTCATTTGGGCTGGGATAGACGCTTTCTAACACAGTCATTTCTGAAGCAAGTATACCAGATACACAAGTGACACATTCCAGCCCACTCAGATCCCCTTTATCTAACAATACCACCACTGCTCAGTATGAAACCCCACCCTCAACCAAGGCTTCTCTATCATGAGCAGTCAGCTTGTTGAAATTTGGCAACTGGACAGAGTAGCTCAAGATGCCAATGTACATAGACAGAAGGCTCACCCATCCCAGATATCAGGGCCAGAAGTGGAGACACTTCCAGCTGGTAAATTTCCCAACAAGAAGGGGTCAAGCTGTCTACCCCCCTTACTGCCTCCTGGGGTTCCAGTCATCAGTAACACAAACCTAATAATGGGAACCTGCTCCTTCTTCGGCACTAGAGGGAGCATGGAGAGCCCCAGCTCAACCTCACGCTTGCATGCACATGCTGGGCAGGCATATTTACACACATATTATGTGAGGTAACATCACACATAGTCAATCAAGTTCAGATGCAGATGACACATGATGTGTGTGTGTATGTGTGTGTGTGCGTGCGCACGCGCGTGCACGCAAATGGTTCTGCAAACTTATTTTGTAGAACTTACATGTCTGAGTTTGTGGACAGCTGTGTGGACAAGTATGTGTGTGGACAGAGACTGTGGCTTAGTATGCTCTGGTAGATCAAATAGTGGCAAAAGTATGGACTTGCACAAGAGCTTGGGCTGATGTATTGGCAGAGTGAGCTAGAGCACACATGAATGCCAGGTTGGCAGTTGACGCTCAAACGCTCACTTATTGATAACTGAACCAGTTGCTATAAATAACTCAGACGAACAGCTCCAGTACCTGAATTAAATGTGACCTGATTCAGAAAGATACAGCAGTGGCCATGGAGGGAGGTCCTGAGGGGGAGGGGAAGGTATAAAGCTCATGAATCACCCTGCAGGGGTGATAGGTATGTTGGGGGCTGGGGGACTGCTGTATCTGAGGCTTCTCAGGGGCTACAGGGTGAGGACCAAGCCCTGTGTATAAGTAGATGATCCCCTCCCAGGTACAGCCACCTGAGCCCTCACACCATATATTTGGGGGTGAGGAAGATTCTTTAAGGAAAATATAAGGCCCAAGTATGAATTTACAGCTAGCTATAGAAGGGATAGATGAGTGACGTGAAGCCCAGAGATTAAAACTTCAGTAGCTTTGTGACCATTTACCTAAATCACAGTTCCTATTTTTTCATTTTTATTGAGTTTTTGTGCATTTCATACAGTACTTCTTAGTCACATTAAGATCACCCACCCCTATCTGCACTCCTCATATCCCCCCACTGAGTTTTATGCATTCTGTCATATATGTTAGTTTTTATTTTAAAGCCAGTCCGAATTGGATATGACTCCAACCTCTGCCCCTCACCGGCTGGATAAGTGACTTGCCCTCTTTTAGCTCTAAGTTAAATGAAACAATGTGGTTGAGACTGAACACACACACACACACACGCACGCACACACGCATGTGCCCTCTAGCATGTGGCCACACCTTCTCTGCCCCTCTCCAGTGCAAATCTATTGAGTGATCCTAAGGCAGAGGAGTCAAAGACCTGAAGGAATCACTTAGTGAGGAGATGGTGGACAGGATGCCGAGGGAATGGGATCTTCTCAGCCCATCAGTAAGACACTTGCTCTAGGAAGCCTGGGCTCTGAGTGATCTCCAGCAAGCTCGTCTTGACCTCTCTATGTAGGACCTGGCTCTGTCCTACCACTTTTAAAGTAAAGATGCAGAAATATCTGCAATGTCCTATATACATTTTCAGCCACAGGGCAGAGGATTCAATACAAAGGCCTTTGGTCAGACTCAGCAGAACTTGCTGCACTTTTTTGGTGAACTGATTCAGCCCCTTTCTCTTGATCATTGAATCCCTGACCCTTACTAAGAGTTGATCAGGGAGGTCTTGCTCAGGGAGTTATAGGTGCTCTGCTTCCTTGAAGGCCCCTGGAAGAGGAGGGTGCTGAGACACTAGCTGTGGAGGCCACCCTCAGGAGCAGAGAGTCTCCTTTGTCTGAGGACACACCATCTCAAGGGCAGCCTGCAAAGTAACTGGCAGTGAAGTGACTGTCCTGTGTCCTGCTCACCCCCAAATGGTAAATGGTCCAAGAAGAAGAAAGGATCAAGTTCTGTCTCCAAGCACTCTCCAGTGTCAGGGCAGGAGAGTGAGGGTCCAGCCCAGGAAACCCCTGGATTTTCCTGCTCCCCTCCCCCATCCCAGGTGAAGTCCTGATTCCTTCCTACTGCCTGTGTCTCCCCACCCTTGCTCTTTTTTTCTCACTCGAAACTAATGAGCTTGATTGCATTGATAAGGCCATGCCGTCTCCATCCTCTTTTCTCTCTCTTCTTCTTTGTCCTCCTTAAACAGAGGCTGGGCTATTTGCCTGCCTGTTTTATTTTCATGAATGCTTCTCTCAGACAGATCTGCCAACTCCCTGAAAGTCACAAAACAATTTTAAAACGGGAAAATATCTGTGCAGTCGGAGCACCACCAAATTCAGGGACCTTAGGAAGCCCGAATTTCTTGAAGTTGGCTCAAGGCAGCCTGGAGCAAAGCACTCACGCCTCCCTGCAAAGCTCCACCTCTGGGCCCAGTGCTCCTGGGTTGCTTGGGCACAGGGGGCGTGGTAGGAGGGAGCTAGTCTTGTCTCGCCCTCCTGCCAGCTGCTCTAAGTTGGTCCCTCAGCTCTGCATCCACTAATTGGTCTCATTAGGCAGCGGGTTGGAGCCCTCCAGCTGCGCAGATCCGCCCGGTGTCATCCGCTTAGTGCCCTCGCACCCCCGCTCACCCTCCCCGCTCCCCTCCCGCTGCCGCCACCACCAACACCCACATTGTCATCTCCGCTCTCCTCTGGTGCTCAGAGCATGCTCCGAGGTCCCGTACCCGGCCTCGGCGATAGCCAGGCTCCGGATCCAGCCGCGGAGACATGAGGTGCGGACCTTGGGCGGCCCTGGCCGTGGGGCTGCTGCACTTCTGCCTAGGTGAGTGCCCGGGCCGGGAGGGTGCGCTTTGGCGCTCCTGGGGATGTGGGGGACGCGGGGACTGAGGCTGCACCGTACACTTGCAGAGTGAGACCACTTCCAGTCGCGGGGTGGGACAGTAGCACGCTCCGGAGCCCCGCTGCTGGCCCGGCTTCAGACTGAAGATGGGAGGCTGGGGCTGCTCTGCTGACTGAGCAGGACAAGGGAGGGAGTCTTACCTTCTAGAGTGACCTTGGACTGAGCACTGTCCCTCTGAACTCCGCTTTGCAGCCAGCACTTTGATAGGGCGGGATTGTCCTCCGCCTGGTTTCTAGGTGCCCCTTCCCATAGTATGTGTCCCCGAAAAGCTCAGGGTCAGCCCAAGTGCACCCTTCCCAAGCGCACCAGGGAGGATCGTGGGTGGACTTGAGTCAGACACCTAGACCTCCCTCATGCCCAGTAGCAGGACCTGACAGGTGACTTGGCTGGTGTGAAGCTGCCTCCTGGGGGTGTCTGGGTGCCTGTTCTCCTGTCTTCCTTCTCTTTGTAGCCCAGGCCAACTTCGCCCCTCATTTCTTCGACAATGGAGCAGGCAGCACCAATGGAAACATGGCCCTATTCAGCCTCCCGGAAGACACCCCTGTAGGTGAGTATGGAGTCTTGGACGCAGCCATTGCCAGGGGAACCTCACCTCCCCAGAACTCAGGGACACAACCTGTGACTCCTCTGAGCCTGTGGTGGCATTCATGCCAGTCGGGACTGACTCCCAGGGCTGCCCTGTTTGTCCCCTGAATGCCCCAGGGTAAGGACAGGAAAGGCCACTACTGCCATGGTGACCTAAACTGGATCAGTCCTGGAGACCAAGATGAGGACCCAAAGATGGGGTGAGCTGGCTCCCTCTGCAGCATGGGAGTGGCTTGCTGCTCCTTAGGGGCCTGTGACCTTGAGCAAACAGTTACCTTCCCTCCCATCTCTAGGTCTTAAAATGATTGAAAAACTTCCAACTGGTTAAGTTACTAGAGTGAGGGGAGGAGAGAAAGATTCACACCCTGAGCTTCACCTTGTCAGGATTTATCTAGACTTGGGTAAAGAGCAGAATAAAGGTGTCTGCATTTCAAAATCCCGGAAGAGCCAGTTCCCCACTGGGGTGCAGGTCTCACCCCCTGCCTAGGTGACTCTGTTTTCCTCTCCTTGTATCCTTATCCTGGGAGTCCTCCAGTTTGGGCTTCTGGAAGAGGACTCATTCAGACAGAAGAAAAGTCACTGCAGTGAGGCACAGCCTACCTGAGCCCCTGCATAGGCTCTATTACAAATCACAATCTGGAAAACGGCTGATGATGTGACATCTGATATCTGTGGAGAATAAAGATAAAATGGGATCTAGCCAGCAGGGGTGAGGCCAGCCAGGAGCACATGGATGGGGCTGTCCCTTTGCTAGTGAACTGAATATCACCTATGAACAGCTGAATCCTAGTTCTGAGCATCTGCTACTTGCAGGAAGAGTTGAGTCCCAGGTTCTAGGTATCCCCGTGTCTCCTTCCAGGTTCTCATGTGTACACCCTGAATGGGACTGACCCTGAGGGAGACCCCATCTCCTACCACATCAGCTTTGACCCCAACACTAGAAGCGTCTTTTCCGTTGATCCCAATTTTGGAAACATCACCCTGGTTGAAGAGCTGGACAGAGAGGTACTGAAATGCGCAGGCAGTGATTGGGGGTTTCTGCTTGCCAGGTGTTCAAACACCTCTGTGGTTTGTAAGCTCCCCTGCTGCTCTCTGCAAGAGGGGAATGGAATGGGGAGGGGGTATAGGGATACTGCAGCTCTGCCCCTAGGTTGCTTCCCAATAGCAAAATTCTCTTTAGCTTCCCTCAAACACCTCTGTGGTTTGTAAGCTCCCCTGCTGCTCTCTGCAAGAGGGGACTGGGATGGGGAGGGGGTATAGGGATACTGCAGCTCTGCCCCTAGATTGCTTCCCAATAGCAGAATTCTCTTTAGCTTCCCGAGGGAACAGTAGAGCTTCTTTCAGGGGCACCTGCCAGTCCTGCTAATCTTTTAAGCATGTTTACCTAAAAAATCTGTTTGTGCTCTGAAGTCTCTGAAAGGAACCCCCTAAAGTGTTTTATCCAAGCCTCCTTGGAGGGATCCCACAGCCACAAGGAGCTCCACAGGCTGGGCTCCAGAGGGACTGAGAGAGTGCATCCAAGTTTGGAAATGTTACTCCCTGTGGATATTTCTGAACCTGGGATGATAGAGCATGAGTTTCCTCCAGAGCCCACTGGGTACCTTAGTTGCCTATATAACTGGACCTCTGCTGTGGGGATGCTGCCAGCTCCCGTTCCACTTGCTACAAGTCAGGGAAGGGATGGAAAATGGGGGCTAAAGGGAAAGGCAGCACTCAGGGACTGTGGTGAAGTCCATGAAGTCAGGATAGATGGATGCCAACATATTATCCTGCTTGTGTGGGAATCTGGCGACTTCATAGAGTTCCCACTATGTCTTAGGGAGCACTTGGGACAGAATACACATGAACCAGTGCCAAAATCCATAATGCAGAGAGGTGTGGAGCGATAAGAGAAGGGAAGAGAAAAAGAGAAGATAGGAAACTCCCTCAGGCACACCAGGGTTACCCTCTCCCCTTCCTCTAGCAGTATAACATTTTCTGTTGGGGACACAAGAACCCTTCTGGGTCTGTTTGAATGCCTGACAAAATCTCAAATAAGTCCTGGCAGGAGGCAGCTTCATCAGGCTTTACACACTGCCCACCCCATCCTACTCCCAGGCTCCTTTGATTATAGCCTCTGATGGGGCAGAGAGCTCAGCACAGGCTCAAGTCAGCATGTCAGACTCCAGACATTTACTCAGTCCTTGTGCTTCACAGAGAGAGGATGAGATTGAAGCCATCATCAGCATTTCGGATGGCCTGAACTTGGTGAGTCCGCCCTCAACACAGCATTGGGGCCTGAGAAATGTGTAGATCCTCTTGCAGCAATGGGAATCCCTGGACAACCCAAGCCCAGGCCAGGAAAGGCCTGCCTGTAGGGCCCACATGAGAAGGCCCCAGTAAGGACAGAGGGGAAGGCAGGAAGGGAACAGGCAGACAGCAGGTCCTTTCAGCTAAGCTTCTCACAGGTCTCACCCACACTCAAGCATGTTCTCAAATTTGTCTGCCCATTCCCCATCTGCCAACTTCTATCACTGACTCTTGGCTCCTGCCCAGTCATGAGCCAAATGCCTGGCACCCAGGTATTCTCCCTCACTTCTTCCCTACCCCCACAGCCATCACTTTCTGCCAGGTCCATCAGTCCTGCCCAGGATAATTGCAAGAGGCCCCAGGGGCTTCCTGGGCATCCACTCCATATCCAATGTGCTGTCACAGCTGTCACTGTGAAACCTAGATCTGGTCACACCCCAGTTCTGAAAGTGCCAACAGCTGGCCTTTACCTCCCTCGGGATGAAATCCAAGTTGTTCTTCAGGGCCTCACTGTCAGGTGCCATCTGCCTCTCCTGGCTCTTCTCACAGCCATCCAGCCAGGATCTTCTGTGCTCTGAATTCCCTGTGCTTCTCTTTCCTGTCTTGCACACTGACCTCTGCTTCCTGGCTCATATCTACCCATTCCCTCTGGCAAACCCACTGAAAGACTGATGCCCCCTGTTTCAGAAACTCCAAGCTGCCCATGTCACAGCTCAGATTCCTTGCAGGGCTTCTGCCTCTGAACGCCCACTCAGCCAGAAGGACACATATTTACAGGCCATGGTGCACATAACGCCCCCAAGTAGTTCTGTTCAGAGCTCTGCTCTCTGGACTTTGGCTTCACATTGTCACTCTAAATGGCATCTCTATGTGTTGATTTCTGTCTGCCCCATATCTAAGTCACCATGATCACTGAAAGTTAATGTCCCATCAAATGAGCTTCTGTCTCTAGGGTAGAAAACAGTGCTTGACATCAAGTTGCTTAACAGTATTTGTTGTATGAAAGAATAAAAGAGTAAGGAGAGGAGAAAGGGAGAGAATAAAGGGAGGCATAATAGGACCATATACCTGGAAGCGTTAGAGGCCACTATCTTTTTTTTAATATATTTTTA